TCTATCTCTATATATTTTTTCTGCCTTTATTAGTGGTCTTTCGGTCCCACTCCCTGCGCACATCCAAAAGTATGCTGATGATGTCGTTTTGTCTCAGACAATTTCATCTCCCTCGGACTTTCATTCTTTTACTGAAAACCTATCTCACATCCAACAGTTTTCTGACCAATCTGGTCTCATTCTTAACATATCTAAGTGCGTAGAGTGTATTTTCAGTCTTTCCCGCTCCTCATTTCCAGCGGACTCTGCTATTTTTAACGATAAATCTGTATCTAGAATGACCTCAGTGAAGTACCTGAGTATCACCATCGACAGCAATCTTCGTTGGCCTACACATATTTACAACTGTGGGAAAACTGAGACGCCTATCTTTTCAGTTACGCAAACTCAGGCAATTCCGAACCCCACAATCAGTCCTTTCATCTTTCGTTCATCAATGCGTTTTACTCATTCTACTTTATTGCTCTCCTGTAGTGTTTCCCGGTCCTTTAAAACACGACTTCAAAACAATTCGCCGCGGTTTGGTGATAATCAGTCGTGCATCACTAATCCCAATTGATTTATTAATCACAGATCTCATTGATAGTCACATTAACTCTTGTTTTAAATTTGCTCACAAGACTATAGATGACCCTCTTCATCCACTACACCCTGATCTATCGTCTTGTCGTTCCCATCCGTCCAAACGCTCCTCATTTCGACAGATACCCTCTCGCATTAACATTTATAAAAATTCCCCTTTACCCTACCTGGCCCGACTACTCACCAAAAAGGAACAGGTCTCAAATGAACTACGTCAAATGCTTTGTACATAATACGTATATCACCGACCTTCTTTACCTTTTGTTTTGATTATTTTTATTTCATTCTGCGCGACGAACAATGCACATTTTTAACTGAAATGTAAGCATATATGCTTACAAAAGTTACAAATAAAATACAATAAAATTACTAAGCGGGTCCGGAATACTCGTATCATATTAAAACAGTGAGCCTTTTTAAAGTAGAAAATCCCTTATCCACTAATACCGCTAAACTGTTATTGATACTTTCCTAACCGGATATTTTCGCTTTTGTTGAGATTATGAAAAGTTCGGTAGCCTCAATGGGATTCGAACCGACGCTTGGATGCCGCCTACTATTTTCGTCAGCCCTACCAGCTGCGCTACGAGGTCACACCGGTGGTACTGATCTTTTCAAATTCGAACCACCCATCCAACTTACAGAGGCATACGGCGTTTCCGCTTTGGACGCTCGACCTCTCGTTTGGCCACAGCTTGCTATTATCTATTTTACTAGTTCAACACAAACACACTGAATGCTCTCTCCCTTCCATTGGGCGGTGTATAGATTAAATGAATCGTGAACTGAATGGCTGGGAAGCACTGGATAACTTTTCCAACCTGTTAGGGTCTCATCAGCTATGCAAATCCAACCGGGGATCGAACCCAGGACATCGCAGGTAACACGCAAGTATACTATCCACTCCTACTTCCACTGGAGGAGTCTGCGACTAGTTAGGTTTTTATTAGCAAATGCTTCACAGCTTTTTCAAACACCTGAACTTTCAGATACAGCTTTTGAATATTTGATTTGACTGTAGTAAGCTGAATTAAACTGAATTTCCAGATTATAAGCATACGGTTAATTGTATGGGAATGGCGGAAGACAACTCACTCCTTTGATCGCATTTCAATAATACACCAGCAAGTTAATGCGCGATATTTCGGTGTATCAATCCCAGTCACTATGAGTTTAATTGAGTACCACTGGTTGTGAAGCGATCAAGACTCGATATTGGACATGTTCCCTCGCAAATTTGGTCAGTTCTCTGAACCGCAGTTCTTTATACTGTTTTTATAGATCAAACCCAAGTTAAGTCTAACTTATTCGAGCCTATTTTTCTCTATAAGCGAAACGGAACAGGGAAAATCGCAAGGCCATTACTGGACGAGACAAAACTGAAAACTACGAACAAAAACTTGAATAAAATAAAAACTATGTTTGTGTGCAACATACAAATGCTCCACTCAAGTTACGGACCAGTCTGGAGCGGTTTGACAATTTCTACGCACATTTAGGTCAACAGCTTTGTTTAAAGAGCATATCATGTGCAATCAAAAAAGTTCCGAATCTAGAATAACCGTGGTAATTTGCACTTACAGCAAGTTTGGTTGTCGACTGATTCGGTAATACATTGCATCATATCGTTCCCCAGACCATCACCGCATGGTAAAAACTCTCTGATTGTGACTGACCCAACGAATTCGATCGAACATAACACGGTGCAAAATACGAACAAAAGTTCTTCCTGAAATAGGGATTGAGAGAATATTTATAATTCGGAGTGCAACGCAAACATATTACATTGAAACATTCACTGTGGCCCGCTCACTTTCATAGTTCCTCGAAACTGAGCTCAATGATCCTCTCGTTAATCGATGTGACTAGTTATTTATTTATCTTTTTATATAGGGTGTGATAGACTTCGTACATGCCAAATAGCCGAAAACAGAATGAAAACTGTAGACATAAATAACAATGATACGCATTCAGTTTCAGCTCGGTCAAACGTATCGACAAAATGTCATTTTTGTTATCATGACACAAAAGAAAAATGGCTCTGGTNCGATCACGTGAGCAGTATTCTGTCAGAGTTCGGCATGCCAGTGGGTGTAAACTGGGATTGAGCCTTGCTGTTTGATACAGAAACAATATCAAATTAAGCATAGAATGGTATGTTTTTGTTTTTCGAAACATTGTTTGACATTCGTGACACGAATCATCTCATTCTCTAATGTGCATTCAATTACACACTGCAAATTGTCATTGTTCTGAAGTCGGTAATAATCAAAACGGAATCTCGTGAAAAATCCTCAGTCCTGTGGCCCTCAAACCATTCTACCCCGCATTTACCTCCTGCTCTCTCTTTTGGCTCGCCTTTACATTAGAATACACGTCGAATTCGCTATCAAAAAAACAGTTGCCTGATCACGAGAAGTGAGCTGGAACTTGTAACTTAATCTCGTATACTGTATTATCTGGAACTAGATAGAATACAGCCTGTTTTACGCCGAACAAATAGAGAACGAAGTTTTAACAACTAAACCATTACGAATGTCTTTGTATCAGGGTGCAACATTTCTAAATTGAGCATACCCATTTCCCCAAAAAGGTATAAACGTCATCAGCCTCTTCGTTTTATTTTGGTGATTAGCAGAGCGGTACACGGAGTATGACATTTTTATGCGGAGCAACTAACGATCTACACGGATTCTTCCACGTATCGAGGTCGTTCTAATCCAATTGTTTATCAAATTAAGTCGATTAAATCAGGTCAGCTTTGAATGAAGCTTAATAATAGGTAATCGACAAGAGTTCTACCTTTCAATTGACTTTTCATAGGCTATTGTTACTGGTAATACATCCATCATTATTACTGCCATCAAATTGGGGTACCAGACAAGAAAACGGAAACGTTTAACATTGTGCATTGCACAAATTGAATACGCTTGAGATGTGTGATGCTTCAGCAGAGCACTTTGATTTTGGCAATCGGTAGTTTGGTTTTGGCAACCTGTAAGTTGAGAAAGGTATATCTGGGTGCAGGCTTTTTTCTTTCATTTCTTTCATTTTTACTTCTTATTATTTGATTTACAAATGTACAGTTTTCAGGAAGGGGGAAGTGGCTAATCAAAGGGCTGCCATAATGGGTAAAGACAGGCGGTGATGGTGGGAGTCGAACACACGTCCTCCGGGGTGATAATTGGTGACGTTACCATCGGGCCACCACCGCTCATACATACACCGAAGTTACTTATAGCAATCGATGTTATTCAGATGGGGATAGAAAAATGCGGAAACCAAGCTGAGTTTTGTTAGACTAAGATGATTATAGCGCTGGCTTACTACGACTGGTGGCTTCCAATTAAAGCTAGGTGACAGAAGCAGGAGAGAAATCAAGGTTTAATGGCAGGGTGTATAAGAAACATTGAGCAAAAAGATTTATGTGATGCAATCACGAAGGTCTAAGCATGAACTGCGCATAACACAGACAGACTGAAGTTACTCGATAATGGACCGTCGGATGACGAATCAAATGTAGTCATTGGTCTAAGCGAGAATACAATTATTAGTTATACAATACAATACAGTAGTTATTTATGGCAACGAGGTTTAGTGATTATTAAATTGCAACCTTACATATTGTTTGTCAAACTACGTGCACTGATGTTATTCAGTACATCATAGTGATCAGAATGTCTAAGGAGCAGTGACTCTTAACGGATGCTACTGAACCCAGTACATTGTTGCTTTGGTGAAAATGCTGAGTTATCATGTTATTTTCCTTCTCAACATTGTGCTCAACTTCGTTTTACATCTAAATTGTTCGAAAATTATTTAAAGGTTGCATAAAACACTCAACTTCTTTATTCTTACCTCTATAAGTTGAACACATACACCTATTTTTTATACTTTTCTTTCAATGCGAAAATAGTATAATGATAATCGACAAGTTCGGTAGAACAAAAGTTTAACTTGCTCCTGGAGCTTAGAAAATGCCTCCTGACTGAATAATAAAATACTAACTTCGTTAAAACAGTTTTGTTGAACTATCATAAGAAACAGACTGTTAACAGAAAATTCCTACATTATTGAACTACTAAATAAAAGCACAACTAAAGAGGCTTTGTAAATAGTAACCAGTAATGTTAATGAACAAGGGTCTTTAAACAGAGCCCAGATTCACGTTTTGCTTCCCACAGGTACATGGGTTAAGTAAACCAGATACAACTGGTCTTCGATCGCTCTTTTTGATTGCCGGCCCTATTTATCGATCCAATCGGGTCATAAGCATTTCGAATCAGCTGGTCAGGCGTCCTAACTGCTTTACTAACTGCATTCCTCGGTGAATGGATGAGCATCCATGCCCATTCAAGACGTCGACTCAGGTGTAGCTTCGGAAGAGGAATTTCATTCGCTGGCCGATGTAACGTGTAACTGTGAGCTATGTCACGCGCGTTTGTACGTATCTGCAAAACAAAGTATTGAGGATGATTGTTCGTGCTTGTTGGACCAGAATGACGCGTTCCATCTGTTGCCATCGCCTAAATCAATCACACCGAACTCACCAAACTACAATGTGTCTGTTCTCTATCCTTGGGCCTGCCAAATGCCCCTGTACGCGGATATGACGCCTTTCAGTTGCAATACATACGGAAAATGTGTTTGCCCTCCGGGGACAAAAGTATTGCCTGACAATATGCCTATTCCCAATTCCATGTATGATCTTTCCTACCGATCGACGATGGGACCAATACAATTTGAGCAGGAACTGGATGCTGGGAACGCGGCTAATGCTCCGCAAGTTTACATTTCGAAAGATTGTGTATTACATATAAGATTGTCCACATATGTTTCTTTCGAACGCTCTGTTTCGGCCTACCGTCTGATCAACTATCGTAACAATTCGGCACTTGCTCTGAATGAAAGCGGTGAATACGGTTACGCTTATCACTATAACTGTCGTGGTCTGATCAATATGCACCATGGAAAACTGTCAATTACATTTGACAAAGATCGCCAAGTATTGCTTCGTAGTGAAAAACCAAGTTTTGTAAAAAAAGAAATGGAATTCTACCGGCTTACATCTCATCATTGGACAGCTTGTCGACCGGTTTCCATGGACACGTTTGATCGTGATCGTACCCCGGAAATACTGAAAAAGACCGGTGTGGAAAAATCGGTGGATGAGGCCAGACTGCGTGAACTTGTCAATTCGTCAGCTGTGCATAAAGAGGGTTGTGGTCTAGTCAGTAAGTGATCCCAGTTTTTTTCAGCTTATTGCCCTGTAATTAGTTTATTTAGGTGATGCCAAAATCGAACAAAAAGTCAATGGGGATGTCGTTTTGAGTTGGTTTTATGAAGACCGGGCAAACTCGCTAATAGTATCCCCGTTGTCTGGGAGTTTCAGTCTTTCAACAAAAAACTTGGAGATAATGGCCACACCGAAAGCAGATATCTATATCGCGTTTGCGGACTTTTTTGTTCATGTTGGGTAAGTGATATGGTGTCTTATCCTTCACAATCCAACTCAAGTAACCATATCATTTTTTCAGGAATCAACAAATGACTGTGAGCAGTGGCGCAGTAGCTGGACGATGCAATTACGCAAAAAGTCATCCGTGTTTGCTTAAACTGACAAGCACAGTGACGGAAAATCAAGCGGTGGATATTCATCAGTACTGTGCGTACTCACAATCTATGGGATCAAATAATCCGCTCACGGCCAATCCGCATCATCATCGGCGTCCGACTCCGGTGGTTACATCCACCCCAAACGCGACTACCGGTGTGCCCACAAATACCACATCAAACATGACCGGCACCGCATCAGGCCAGGCTGCAGTGGCCGCAAATATGACCTTATCGCCCAGTAGCCAATCGTCTTCCACGGATAATTCGGTGGACAAGAAAGAGGAACAGATAAAAGCTGGGGAAGGAGATACAAAGTTTGCTGAGAACTCCCAGCGAGCTGAAATACCGAATAGAAACACAAAGGACTAAACACAACTGTTGTAAGGATTTATGAATAGGCAAGACAACCATACCTTCTATGATGGATTTGTTTCAGACAACTTATGGAATCATTTTATAAGATTAACATTTTCGCCGTCAATGGCTACGATGTATATATGTAGCTAGTCAACGTTCACCGATGTGTTACTGGTTGGGAATGAGTCCTTCGCTAGCGAATAGAACGGTAGTTTGTAACCAAGTCGCATGATTTTCATGCACGTAGTTGGGAGGAGAACCGAAGGTAAAAATTAAGCAAAATAAAAGCAATGGTTTCGCGACGAGATGAACAAATATTTGGAAAATAACTAAATTCGCGTCAGACTTGTAGCATCAACTGATTTGGAAGGCGCCTAGACATTCCTACTGATAATAAATATAAATAATTAATAGTTCAGTTCAGTTCAGTTCTTAAAACCGTTAACCATGCAGTTAACGGTTGAGAGCAAATTCAAGCGAAAGATAACGAATTCATATAGGCTGAAGTTACAAGAGTAATGAGTAGATGCATGAGTGCCACTGTTTGAGACATCTAGTCATATCACTCAGTGTCTCCAACCGTCTGTGAATATGATCTCGGGGTCCCCAGTNCCCCAGTCAGGGAGCCTAACTAGACCTATGTGACCTAGGCTCCTGGTTAGGGTTTTCATACCCTCGTGCCGGGTTTTAGTTTGACCTCCTTTGATAATAAGAACACTGTACTTTTAAAATGTATGAAGGCTGATAGGACATGTGAAAGTCTTGAAGAACGACGACTACGGCCGGTCGTGACGAACTTCAGAACGGGACCCTGGGCTCGCAAATAACCAAGTTACCACTGGTTAAACCATAAGACTTGTGGTTGTCGTAGACGTGTATTGAGGTACCGTGGCGCAGGGAACGTACCGGGACCTGAAGCGCGATAACGTGCAAACATATCGAAAGTAAAGGATACACCTGTTAGCGATCGTGTAAAACAAATGTCACAACGTTGGTACTGAAGTAAAAATGTGAACATTCCTTTAGATTATGGAAGAAAAATGGTGTCCGACAAATATATGTTATTAATAGGCTTTCACCGTACAATCAGGCACACTACAGTCTAATCGCAATAAAAACAATGAACTATGGATTGTATTACCGGACCAACAATTTACAGCAAGCAGAATTCGGAAGCGAGATTTTCTGTGTGATGGTGGTCGCGCACTAGACAATACCTGACCATTACCTTCAACTGTAATATGTATGACAGCACCATATCGTACAACAAGTGGTTGAAAATCCGGAATGCATAGCGATGAGAATGGTAATAAATCTGTTGCGCTACACGCTGTATTGATTTTCAATATTTATTTCACTCACTTTTATGGTAACCGATCCTAATTACTGGCGTTCAGGGAATACTTCTGGGGTGGCTTACACGACAAAACTGATTGAAACTAGTTACCGAGCCAGTCACGATGATTTGAGGCATTAGTGGAAAATGATCATTTTAACTCGTCATAACGTTGATGCAAACTGAACGATAGCCTTGTGGATTAACTCTGTACGTATCGATCGCAAATATTGTACACAAACAAAGTGGATTCATAAACATTTTAGCTGTGAGATTTCCGACTTCATCATGAATCATTGTTGATATCACTTGCTTTTGAAGTATCTGTTTTATGAGGTCTGTAACTTAGAACGGCAGTTGAAAATGTTACTTAATTAGGAATTCGGTCAGTTTACACCAGTAGGCATATTGGTGAAGTGCGTCAACTATGACCAGCCATGGCGAGCTTCTTAACGGGTCCCGTACATCGCAAAGAACCAAGGTACTACTGGTTAAACCAGAAAACTTGTGATTGTGGCTGAGGTGTATTGGAGTACCGTGGAACAGGTAATGTACCAGTACGCGCTAACAAAATTTGCGCCAAGGTACGAAGGTCACAATGACAAGTAAGTTCGATAACGTGCAAACCGATCGAAAAGGAAAGAGTGAAAGTCTTCGAGCGGAGGGATGCAGTAGTTGGCAATTGTGTAAAATAAATGTCACATTGCGTTGGTACTGAGATAAAAATGTGAACATGCTATGAGATCGTTGATGAAAATTGATGTGTGGCAAATTGTCTGATATTGTCCGGATTTAATCGTACAATCGGTCACACTACACTGGTATCAGGTACTATAATTTGTTGCTAGCTCAGTGATTTACCTGGTTATTTGTTTGCGATCGGCCACATTTGGCTGAAAAGTGGACAAAAACTGTTCACATTGACAAAGATTAATCGAGAATATTTCACTGCACCCTATTTTTTCTGGTCCCACCAAATCCTGATTGGACTGACATCCCTGTTTGGTGTTGAACTATCAAGAAATGTGGGTTTTGGATGTGCAGTGGCAAGTTTGAAACGCATTCCTTAGCCTACCTGCATGAACATCTCAGCTAATCCACGCTAGCATAAAAGTATACGTGAAGAAACTGGAGCTTCGAACTGCATTTTTATCTATAGACCTTCAGCTATTATAGCGTCTTTTAGTCTTGCCGCATCGTCCAACGACCAAGTTAAGCTTGATTTCGTTCAGACGCGAACTATACATCGCCGACACAATATACATGTTCCAGGGCGGACGTGTCACGCGTTTTCAGCACTAAATTTTAATATATTGTCAATAAAGAATGTCCCTGACCGATCTAAAGGGCTCACAGAGCATGCTAATGATAAATTTGCCAGAGTAAGACGATCTACCTTTAAAATCACAGGAAAGGAACGTATAGCTTCAAAACACTATTGCGAACAAAACGTTGCTTTGCTTACTCACATTTCAAGCCCCAAACATTAGACATTAAATCGTTGAGCCGATTAGCACGGCAGCTGAACACAGTCTAGGAGGCTGTTTGCATTTAATGGAGCTTAATTGATTAGAGGATGACAAAAATCTGAATAGCAGGTTAAAATTGGTTCAGACCTTGGAATTAATTGCAAACGGAGAGGTTTTGTGGGATGTTAACAGCTTATCTCGACTTTGGGATTTTTTTGAATCAAACTGAGCAAGATATTCATCTTATTTGCAAATTTAAAAAAGGATATCCATCTTCTTTCCCTGATAGGTTATATAGCACCTCGTCCACAGTGGACACATCTCCATGAATCAGATTATGAGGGGAACAGTTGGTAGATGCAGTTAATCCTATCGATCAGGAATGGAGATTCCCAGTATCTGTCATACTTGACCACCCTCACATGTGATGGGCATGCAAAATCGAGTAATGGCAGCGGTAAAATCCTGTGCGGCAGAAAGTTTTCAATGAAAAAATTAAAGTTGTCAGGATGGCTTCAATGTACCTCGACTGAAGACTTGTCTGGAGCAAGCGGTCGACCTCCATAGATTATGTTGGTTGGGGCATATGTTACGCATGTCACCAGATAGGTTACCACGGCGAGCGATGTTTGCCGCGGCAGGTAGTGAGTGGAAGAAATCCAAGGGTGGTCAAGTTAAGACCTGGCACGGGGGTACGAAAACCCTAACCAGGAGTCTAGGTTACATAGGTCCCGTTAGGCTCACTGGATGGGGACCTCGGGACAATCGTAAACGATGGTTAGACACACTGAGTGATAGGGCTGAGTGTTCTAAACAGTGGCGTTCGTGCATATTCTCTGTTTCTTTGCAACAATAATCCAATGACAATTCCAATGTTCTCTTCGATTCCACTTTCAACTTTCCTGTCTTTCTCCTACTGTTCATCCAAAAGACAGCAACCAAATTCGGGGCACGAACGTGCATCGTTAATGGTTGTACAAACTGAACTGATAGATCAAGTTTGATATGGTTCAAAAGTAACATTTCTTTATTGTTTTTTGGACATGGAATGGAAGACTAGTCTCAATATATATTATATATATTTACCACCGGCTTGAAAACAAGCATGGTGCCAACGCAAAAA